TGAGACTTAGAGATAGACAACACATGGTGATACGTTTTGCAAAAGCCAGAAATCCTGCTACGTTTGTAGACATGAGACTTAAAGATCGACAACACATGTTTATACATTGAGCGAAATCGAGAAATCCTGCTACGTTTGTAGACATGAGGTCTAAAGATAGACAGCACATGGTGATACGTTTTGCAAAAGCCAGAAATCCTGCTACGTTTGTAGACATGAGACTTAAAGATAGACAACACATGGTGATACGTTTTGCAAAAGCGAGAAATCCTGCTACGTTTGTAGACATGAGACGTAAAGATAGACAACACATGGTGATACGTTTTGCAAAAGCCAGAAATCCTGCTACGTTTGTAGACATGACATGTAAAGATAGACAAATCATGGTGATACGTTTTGCAAAATCCAGCAATCCTGCTACGTTTTTCGACATGAGGTTTAAAGACAGATACTCATGTTCATACGTTTTTTCACATCCAGAAAGCCTGCTACGTTTGTAGACATGAGACTCAAAGATAAATACACATGGTGATCCGTTGTGCAAAGGCCAGAAATCCTGATACGTTTCTAGACATGAGACTTGGAGAAAGACAACACATGGCGATACGTTTTGCAAAAGCCAGAAATCCTGCTACGTTTGTAGACATGAGACTTAAGGATCGACAACACATGTTTATACATTGAGCGAAATCGAGAAATCCTGCTACGTTTGTAGACATGAGGTCTAAAGATAGACAGCACATGGTGATACGTTTTGCAAAAGCCAGAAATCCTGCTACATTTGTAGACATGAGACTTAAAGATAGACAACACATGGTGATACGTTTTGCAAAAGCCCGAAATCCTGCTTCGTTTCTGGACATGAGACTTAAAGACAGACAAAACATGGTGATACGTTTTGCAAAAGCCAGAAATCCTGTTAGGATTGTAGAGATGAGACTGAAAGATAGACAACACATGGTGATACGTTTTGCAAAAGCCAGAAATCCTGATACATTTCTAGACATGAGGTCTCAAGATCGACAACACATGTTCATACATTTTGCAAAAGTCAAAAATCCTGCTACATTTCTAGACATCAGATGTCCAGATCGACAACACATGTTGATACGTTCTGCAAAAGTTAGAAATCCTGCTAGGTTGGTTGACATCAGACTTAAAGATAGACAACACATGGTGATACGTTTTGCAAAAGCCAGAAATCCTGATACGTTTCTAGACATGAGACTGAAAGATAGACAACGCATGGTGATACATTTTGCAAAAGCCAGAAAACCTGCTACGTTTGTAGACATGAGACTTCAAGATAGACAACACACGGTGACACGTTTTGCAAAAGCCAGCAATCCTGCTACGTTGGTTGACACGAGACTTAAACATAGACAACACATGCTCATACATTTTGCGAAAGCCAGAAATCCTGCTACACTTGTAGACATGAGACTTCAAGATCGACAACACATGTCTATACATTGAGCGAAATCCAGAAATCCTGCTACGCTTGTAGACATGAGGTCTAAAGGCAGACAACACATGGTAATACGTTTTGCAAAAGCCAGAAATCCTGCTACATTTGTAGACATGAGACTTAAAGATCGACAACACATGGTGATACGTTCTGCAAAAGCCAGAAATCCTGCTACGTTGGTTGACATCCGACTTAAAGATAGACAACACATGGTGATATGTTTTGCAAAAGCCAGAAATCCTTGTACGTTTGTAGACATGGGACTGAAAGATAGACAACACATGTCTATACATTGAGCGAAATCCAGAAATCCTGCTGCGTTTGTGGACATGAGGTCTAAAGATAGACAACACATGGTGATACGTTTTGCAAAAGCCAGAAATCCTGCTACGTTTGTAGAGATGAGACTTAGAGATAGACAACACATGGTGATACATTTTTCAAAAGCCAGAAATCCTGCTACATTTGTAGACATGAGACTTAAAGACAGAAAACTCATGGTGATACGTTTTGCAAAAGCCAGAAATCCTGCTACGTTGGTTGACATGAGACTTCAACATAGACAACACATGTTCATACATTTTGCGAAAGCCAGAAATCCTGCTGCGTTTGTAGACATGAGACTTAAAGATAGACAACGCATGGTGATACGTTTTGCAAAAGCCAGAAATCCGCCTATGTTTATAGACATGACATGTAAAGATAGACAACAAACACATGGTGATACGTTTTTCAAAAGCTACAAATCCTGTCACGTTTGTAGACATGAGACTTCAAGATAAACACCATATGGTGATAGGTTGTGCGAAAGACAGAAATCCTGCTACCTTTGTAGACATGGGACATAAAGATAGACAACACATGGTGATACGTTTTGCAAAAGCCAGAAATCCTGCTACTTTTGTAGACATGAGACTTAAAGACAGATACTCATGTTGATACGTTTTGCAAAAGCCAGAAATCCTGCTACGCTTGTAGACATGAGACTCAAAGATAGACAACACATGGTGCTACGTTTTGCAAAACCCGGCATTGCATTGGATTCCATCTGTCCAGCGCTGTCAGAATGCCGGAGATTGTGTCAGAGTCGTATGTCATGGTGGGGATCACTCGAAGTATATTATCAGCCTGGATGCTGTTCGTCAACCTGCCAAAACGATACGTTTTGCATCAAACAGTCAATCCTCAATCTCTCAGTAGCACCAGCAACGGGTTTTAAAGCACCATGAAGGGAACCTTTATTAACAAATGTGATATGGCAGTTAGGGGATTACACAATCATCATAACACACCGCTTCCATCGGTACAATTTGTCAATGGCTGTTCCCTGCAGATGCCGCCGGGGTAACATGGAAGTTGGTAAGCTTAAACACATTTTTTAAAGATTGGAAACGATTGATATAGAATGAAGTAGACCCCATGGTGTTGAGGGCTACTAATCACGGCTAGCTGATACAACCAGAAATGGGATTTGTTAGCTGGAGTCCGTAGTGAAGATGGGATTACAACCAGAAATCTCTGTGGCCTCGGTGCTTCCACGCGATTTGGAAAACTCTCGACAGGGCCATTGGTTGCTTGACGGTCATCACTGAAAAACTGATGCGCCGCAATCACTATGTTGGCCGTTTTGTGATAATTGTTGCCTCCAATCAGGATGTTTTAATGCTCCAATGTTCGTTTGCGCCAAGGTCGGGATTTTCAGGATGTTGACTTTGTTGTGCCGGGATTCCACTTGCTGAGCTCCAGCCTTCTACGCAGCAATGTGTTTAGCGTGACTTGCTGGCTCCACCGCTGCAGGCAGTTCGGTCCCCAACGCAGTGGGGAGACAGCACGTTTTGATTTTGCATCATGACTCAGACCAGCAAGTTGTCGCCTTCCAAAAGAGGATGGAGAGGTGATCCAAGCGTGTTCATTGAGGTTTCCCCTGCAAGACATGCTATGTGAGGCACAGCTCGAAGGCACAGCATAACAATGCATAACATGATCGAGGCAGAAGTGGGTTACATAGAAATATGCGCCGAAGTAGACATGGTTTGAAGCATGATCGGTTGCAAACATATCCTCATTTTGGTAGACTTTGTAATATAAAAACACTAGTTTTGTAGTGGAATAAACTAGTGTTCATCAGTCATGGGCACTACCGCAGTCATTTCGCCGTGGTATGTCAAGAAGGTCCCAGGGAACGTCACTTTGACAACTTATTGATCTTGCCGGCCATTGGTTATTGGCCAATCGCACAACGCAAGACTAAAGTCTAACTCCAGCAGCGGGATCATCGACAACCACCATGGGTTGGGCCATGGAGGGCGAAGCCCAAGCCGTACCCCGGGTCGCCAGGGCCGCTGGGAGATGTCGACAGCCAAGGCGGCGTACCGATGCCATGCTGCCCTCGCTGGAAATTTTCTGATGTTCAAAACGACACAAAAACAAACATTGAGAGGACAGCTTGTTTGTTTAAACATTCAACAAGTTTCAAACAAACAAGGACAGCTTGGAGCCCCAGCTGCCAAAGTCTGGAATCCTTCCAAGATCCATTCTGAGCAGTCCAAAGCGGATCCTAGGCCCCCGAATCTAAGTGTTTGTATTGCAGGGCATTGCTGCCCATGCAACAGAGTGGTTGCAGACGAAAATATATTTGACCATTCCATTCAAGTCTAAATATTTGCATCCATGACGCCACCACTCTAATGTTTTACTTTAGGAGGCTTTCCAACACTATCCATTTTCTCTTTGCCAGGACTTTATCACTTGTTATCACGAGAAGTTATCACATGCCAGAAGTTATCACAAGTGGTTGAAGTTATCAAACATGTTTTTGATGTCCTTCACTTTAAAATTATTTATCACCAGTTGGTTCCTCATGATGTTTAAATTCTTAACCAGCATACATTGCACAGTAGCCTGCTAATGGTAGACGGTAGAACTCCAGGTTGACTAGTAAATCCAACCGGTATTACCATAGCCGTCACTGGTTCGTTCTGCTGGCTATGCACGTGATCACATGGCCAGTTATCACCGATTGTTCTTGTTTCCACTGGTTACACCTGTCAACTTGTCCAAGCAGCGCGCTGCGCAGTGGATAATCACTTGCATGTTCCGATGAATCAATCGTAAAGGGATCCGATTCCCAAATCATTATGATCCAATCGTAAAAGTCAGTCAGGTTATCATTGGACAAAATTACTCATTCTGAATCCTTGGATCCTTCACCTCACGAAATCACTTAGCTGTGATCAAGCCTGATCCATTTGGAATGCAGACATCAGCTGAACACTGCAGGCTTCAGAACCTGCGCCCCAGCACATGGAGGAAAAAAGTGAGCTGTCAAGCCTTGGTGCTTCACACCGTTCGTCGTTTGTTGAAACAGTGAGACAATGTGAGACATTTGGAAACACTTTTGGAAACACTTCGTTTACACTTTACGTTTCAAGTTGAAACAGAGTTTGTTTCTTACGTTTCAAGTTTGCAGCCTTCGGTTTTAAGCCTTCGCCTCCCTGCCTGACACCGCCTGACACAGCCAGCTTCCTCAGCGATGGCAGCAGCCCCGGGATCCTCTGCAAGGCGGGGGAAAGTGGGGCAAAACAGGATCCAGCTGCAACGAAAAATCCAACTTTGAAATTCTTGCCGAGCCTTTTTGCAGGACCTTCACCCGTGAGGCAGGTCATTCTCAGCACAGTTTTTCTTCAAAGCACAGCCATTCTCTGGTTTGGGACTTCGATGAATCTAAGGAACAGAGGGTTCCAATTGCTTGGTGTTTGGCGCTGCTCGAGGAGTTGGTGTCAAAGACAGTGACGCGTTTGAGGGATGAGGGTGCCGACGTCACAGAGGATGAGGCTGGAGAGTCGTCGAGCTGTGACGGTTGAAGTTTTGGTGGGTTTTTTCCGAGTCCACCTTCAAGTTGAAAGAAAATGCACGTGGCGGCTTGTGCCAGGTTGCTGCCATTGTGAACCGCATTGAGAACAGCGGTGGTCTCTATGACAAGCAAGCGCTTCTTCGTGTGTGCACTGAACCCTGGTGCCATTTTTGTACCTGGTGAGACCCCGTAAATAGGTTTCTAATGAAGGGAACTGGTCATTGCTGGATTGGAGTTGCGGGTTTCCAGCCACGGAGTTGCGTCAGCGACTGAGGAATCCTTGCAGCTTTGTGCTGAAAGAGATCAGGCTTCAGTTTGAGTCAAAGCATATCGCTGCCCTTTGATGCTGTCTTGGATTTTTGATGCTTTTGGAACTTGCCTGGTGGATATTTCTGGATCCTTCTGGCATTGCTCTGTGTGTGTCACTTGTGACTGATTCAAATGTTGAAGACACTTTTTTTGTCAAATAAATGATAATAAATGCCTATAGCATCCTATAGCTATATAATCAAACAAACACATTCACACCCCTGTGGGGCCCTGTGCTGCCGCCAGACTGGTATGGTGTGCAGCCTGAGATTGAACCAAGAGAACCTCATGGACGTGCTGAAGAACTTGGCCGAGGTGTGCTGCAACAGGCTGAGTAAGGGCCCCCAGCCCCACGGACTGAGCATCGATCAAGGGCCGCCCAGAAGTCATTCTTGGCAAGCATTTGTTGCCCGGTCAAGCCAACACTTCTATCGGCCAAATCCATGTTGATCCATGTTGGTGTTGGTTGGACTGCAATCCTTGCGGTTGATAAAACGGCGTTCTAATTGTCATACAAATTCCCATGGATTGTTGGCTAAGAATTTTCGTTTTTTGTGGTTCGAGTCTCACGCTGTGCAGGAGATGGAGAACTTGAAATCCAAAGTGGAGGCAGTGGAATAGTGGTAGTAGGTGGTGGCAGTGGCAGTGATAGAGGTTCACCTAACTGTTACTATTCAAGATGGAAACTTATGGAGGCTCGTGAATAGTTGCAGGTAGGGTTTCCGGTGGATGTGGTGGGAACATTTGACACCAAACCTCCATTGCCTAGTTTGTTTAGAAGAAAGCAGCCGATTGATGAATCTCTAAAATGAATCTTGGATCATGCAATTGCTGCAATGTGTTTGCAACGAGTTCTGGGGTTTTCCATTGAGGTTTCTTCAACGGTGCCTGATCGAAATCTCCAGCAGCTTGCGGAATCTGTGCAGAGCTTGCGGAAGGAGCGGAGCTGCTGGGCGAGCGTCGCCTGGGCGCTGGAGCGACATGTCGCAGCTGCTAAGCTGCTAGGAGCTTGTGGACAAAGTGGATTACCTCACTGGGCAGGTGCAGGGTCTGGCCCACACGCCTGTCCAGGCTGGGCTTGACATGAGCTCACATGTCCAGCTCAAGTTCACTTAATTATGCCAAGCATATGATTTTTCTGCTGAGAGCGAAGAATGTGGCATTTGGTTTGCCCGAGTGATTGTCTGGCCCGTTTTTGAGGCAAACAAATGTTATTGTAGCATAACCTTTGGGGCAAATGTAGGTAATTAATCAAGAATCAGAAGGCCGGCCCCTTCAAAGAGAGTTTTGCAATGATGTTAAGCCTTTCTTCTCCTTGATCAACATGGTGGAACAAACCACGCAAACAAACACTTTTCCAACAATTTGCATGGAGATCTTTTAGCGGGTTTGCCCATCGGGATAATTACACATTGCAGCCGGCACCGCAATGTAGATGTGTTGGTTTTGTTTGGAAACGAAAACGCATCAGCTCAAATTGGCTGTTTGAACTATGCAAATTGTTGGTGTGGTTTGCGTTTGGGATGTTTACGATGTGCTCACATCATTGAGTACTGTTTGGTGCAGCTTCACCTCGGATACGTCGGGGTGATTGCTGATTCCACGTGGATTTTGACATTCTGAGAGGGCTCTATTCTTGGTGTTTGGGTGCTGGCAGTTACTTTTTTTTTCCACTGTAGCAATGAGTTTCTGATGAGTTGTTCTGTTAAGAAGTCAAACCGCATGCGTATCAGGCTATGATTTCTTTCTCGGGGAGATTTGCTGAGGCATTTTCTGAATAGTTTTGCACTCTATCTCTCTCTCTCTTCCCTTTTTGATTTCGAGGGTTCCACTGGTGTCGTTTCTGCGGCTCTTGCTGGCCTGCGCCTTTTCGTCCGTCAAGATGCTCTCTCATACATTTGCTGTTGAAGTTGTTGAATCTGCGTAGGCGTAGGCATGATCGATGTGGAAGGAGATGTAATGACTCAGAAGCTGTACATTCCAAGGTTTACCTTCACAAGGTGAGCGGAAGATGTCTACTGTTATCGCCACTTGCCATGCCCAGATGTCATGCTTGGCACAATGTGCTACATTTTGCGAGACACCCGTTCCAAATCTTTCCCTTCTATGTTGCCACGACGCTGCGACGCATGATATTCTTTCCAAGTACCGGAAATTGCAGTACCTGAAATGGCGTCCACGCATGTACAGCTCCGTAGGCTGAGAAGGAGAAAGAGCATGCCAACGAGCTCAAACCGGCTCAGGCTTCAAGACCTTTGTGGATAGCACTTGATAGCACCTTGATGTTTGGAATTTGGATCTAGACACCTGAATTCTTGGAAACGTCAACCAATCCACGCTTTCAATTTTTGCTCTTCTGTTTTTCAATGTGCAGCAGGCAGAAAAGGAGACGGCCGAAAAACAGTTGGAAGCAGCAAAGGCTGAGGCAACCTTGTGGTCAGAATGAAGTCAGCGCCTGCTCGAATTTCAGGTAGCTGCCCCCCAGTGTAGGTGACTAACCGTCACTGTTTGTCACTTTGTCGCTTTCTTCTTTAATAGATAAAAACCAGCGAGCACGGAAACGGAAGGTATGAAGCATCCTTCACTGGTTCAGCGGATTCTCCATTTTCCTGCAAACATTCCCGAAATCGTTGGGTACAATTTGTAGTTGGTTTGTTTTGGGAATCACAGAACAGCTTTCAGTGTACCTCGGCGTGATCATCGCATTTAGCCTGACATGGAGCAAGAGCAAGACTATTATAATTTCCCACCCGCTCTGGACAATACATGCATGCAGTCACATCTCAGATGGCATTTCATATATAAATTCCATTAACTTCCCCTCCTTTGGACAACACATGCATAGTCGCATCTCAGATCTCGTGTCAAATACATTCCGATGCAGCCTTGGTTTCCGATTCACAGCTTTGGTTTCCGATTCACGGCTTCAATTTCCGAAGAATGGCCTGACCATGGGTTGGGCCGGGTGTATGTGGGCATGCTGCCGAAACTTCACAATGCCTTCAAAATTTAGCTACTGAGCTACCGAACGTTCCAAACACAGATGCGTTGTGCCATTCCAGGCACCATTTCATCACAAAAACAATGTCGCACGGATCATAATTGCACTCCTCCGCAGTCACCTCTTTTCTTTGCGTGCAGAGTTCTTGCGTCCTGTATCTTGGACCTCTCATTCTGCATTTGCCAGGCACCGTTGCCAGTATTGCTGGGGCAGGCTCGATGTTTTTCAATGTTTGTGCGTATGAAGTCAAGGCTTGAATACATATGCACAAGCTTGACGTTTACTGCTTGGACGTGTGGATTGGATTAAGCAAGGTGCAGCTCAAGGAACAAGTAGCTGTAAGTAGCTATTGTGGTTGTCTCACATTGTCACGCGCATGCCAAAAGTTAAGTTTTTTCGTCCCGGACTCATTTCCCAACAAATTTTCTAAGAAATCACAGAGGCACTTGACAAATTTCCCAACGTTAGCCATGGCCAAGATGAAGCATGAGAGCTATGCCGCCTTCAAAAAATCTTACCAGAGCAGCTTCGAGCTTTTACTGAACCTGGTGAGGCTGGTCGCTTGTGCAGATCTCGATCCTGAATGGATTCGCTGGGAACAAAAAAGCATGCCGGAGGCATGCATGGTCCAGCTAAAGCTTAGCCTGGACTTTCATGGATTGTGCCCTGGTATGGAGGAGCTTGAGCGTTTCCAGGCAGAAACCACGGAAGCGGTTCTCACAGGAGACCTCCAGGATGCCAGGGAAGTTCGCAAAAGAGTCCAGGAATCCAAGGAGGCGATGAGCAAGGAACTTGTGAACGAACACAGCGCCATCCTCGAACAGGTCTTCCTTTACGGGAAACGTGTTCAAGAGAGCAAGTCGAAATGCAGGAAGATGTGCTAAGGGTTTTCGCTTGACATTGCCTTCCAGGAAAGGCAGAAGTGCGTTTCACGGTGTGGAAAAAGTGACTTGCCAGTTTAGCATTGAAAGTGCCACTGTTGCAGAGACTCTTTCAAGTGAAGGTGCATTAAGTGGTTGGCCGAAAAGGTCTGGCAGAATCCAGAAATCTTAGGCTGTTTGAGCTGCGTCTTACTGCAGGAAATATGAAGCAAAAAGTTGAGGCATCGTGCAGCCGCATGGCCTAGCCATGGGACTGCTGATGCTGAGACGAATTTTATTGACAATTGCAATTGTAAATGAAGAAATCGTATTGACAATTGAACTATCATGCTGAAAGTTTGCTATGATAGTTCAATAGGGTTCAGACCAAGCCGACCAAGCATGCAAGCAGGCTGGGCATGCTCCCTTCAAGGATTTGCGCCTTGGATCGCATCATGGCTCAGCAGGACATCATGCAGTTTATTGGGTCAAATTCCATACTTTGTCCACCCAAAATGGTTGGTTTCTCAGCTGTTCATCTGAGTACAAGGTGAACGGCTACATACTTTGTCGAACTGGAGAAGTTGCTGTTATGAACCTGTACAATGATTCGTCCCTGTGTCATTGTACGATTTCAAGTGCGTGCTACTCATTACAAAATTTCATGATGAAATCAGACAGGATAAATTCAATTGGTTTGGGCTGACATGAGCTGACCCCCTCTTCAGCCAGCGAAGGTCAGAGCAGCAACCAACGGAGGTGCTCGTGCAGCCCATGATGCAGGTTTGCCTCGTTTGAAGCTTGGCTCCTGCATGGAAGCTTGGTGGAACACATTTGGAAACAGCGTTGAAACGGTGAATCCAAGTTGAAAGCGTACCATGGTTATGAATATGTGCGCTTGAGTTATAACTGAGATATAACATGGTATGTAGCTCTGTAAGGTAGGCGAACTAATCTAACCCCTATGGCAACTCATCCCACTGAGGCCACGACTCCGAAACAGCAGCCGAAGATTGGCAACGCATCAACCCCTTCCTGTCAGAGGAGGTCCAAAGCTTGTTGGGGGTGGTCGAGGGCGGAGGAATGAATCATCATGAAAAGTCATCATGAAAAGTCATCATGAAAAGTCATCAAACCAGATGACTCAGGTTGGTCCTGTTAGGTGAAAGTGTCTGCCCATCCATTCCACTTCCCCAGCGCTCGCAGCTCCAGGCTAATGATGAGGCGGGCACCATGGGGCACCTGTTGGACGTAAATTTGTCGAGGAGTTTCAGATGGTGGAAGATCAACGGGATATGAGTTTGATTTATGTATTGCATATATGTGTGATATGTGCGCTTGGTATGTCATACATAGGCGGCTGGATGATGTGATGAAAATGATTGAACATGTGTGTATACCGCATTCCATGGAATCAGTCATTTCAAGTCAAGGCTGCTGACAGACAATGACCGCCTTTGAGTGGGCTCGCGCCATCTTGATTGTTTTTGCTTTCAGTCCTCACTTGTTTAAGAAATTTGTGTGCAGTGTTGATGTTGTGGTGTCACACTGGGTGTTGCGCCACGCGTGGTCAAACAGCTGAGGGTTCAAAACTAATTGTTTGCAAATGATTACTGATGATTGATGATACAGCTCCTTTTTAACAGCTAACACTGACCAAACTGTGAGCACGCTAAACTCTTCTGCATCAAGGGCAGCAAAACACGCAAAATTCTAATGATGACAATTCTAATGATGAAAATTTATAACGATATTTTCATCATTATAAGGGAATGCAGCCAGATCGGAGCAAAGCTAGAGGCATCACGATTTCATATCGGCTTATCATCGGAAGTACTGCCAGTGATAATCGGCGACATCTTCCGTGGTAGTACTAGTCATGGTAGTACTTATCCGTGGAATCATTAAGTGACTGCCAGTGATAGTCACAGGTCTGGTCGTTTATGATTTGCTTTTGATGTGTCTGCCGCTTTGCATCCCCAAGACGAGTTCAAGCAGTGGATCAGCCATGATCAACCCACAGTTTATCAGAAAGCTGGACGGATTGGTGCTTCGTGAGTTTGATGGAATGATCATATGGTTTGTGCGACAATTTGTTTTAAAGAGGGCAGCTGACCATTGTGACCATGTTGATGGCGGTGATGATGTGGCAGTTGGATTGCCGCACTTTTTTGGCCCCACACTGTGGATTTTGTGCTTCGATAGAAGGCCTTTGCAAACACTGGTGACCTGTGCGTCGGCCGCAGGGTGGTGTCATTCGTCCCAGAAGCCCACGCTCCGAAGATGAAGGTGCGGGAGGACATCACCATGGTGACCCAATGATTTTTCTGAAGATTTGATGCTTCATTTGTGGTGGAGTAATGGTATGTTATATAAGTTATATATCGTTCGGTAAATCAATTATTCACCATTCAATCTGGAGGGTTTTGTCCTCCAGTTTACCGATTGCGAACAATTAAGCGTTAACTACTATGGAATAGTGGATAAGAACCGTGATAGCTGATGGTTACTGCACAGCAATTGGATTATTTGTTTATTTTCGTGTGCCAGCCCGTGATTACCTGATTGCGTCAGGGCTGTTGTTTGGGTTCCTGGCACCTGGTTCGCACCGCTTGCGGTGCTAGGCCAGTTGGTAGACGTTGCAACTTGTCATGGGCTAGTTTTTTTGGTAGCCAGTTGATAACATGCCAGGTTCGCCAATCTGCAATGTAGTCAGCGCAACGTGCGGCAATGCATTCTGCTGAATGCCCTTGGACGAAAGTGAGACACCCTCGATTGCGACGCTCAGGTTGCCCCAAATACTTGCAGATTAATCAGAAATAGATGCGCTATCAACCACTCTGCTGCCAACCCTGCACCAATGCACATGGGATGCCGTCAAAAACCCGTACCAAGAAAAGTTGCACAATGGAGCGAAATTATTTGATGATGATGGTTTTGTATGGTTTTGCCAACTAGATTAAGTAGCGGGCAATTGCCAATTATTAGCCAATAATCACCTATGAATGATAGATAGTTCTAACCACTTCATTATCAACCATTGCAATTATAACTACTCATTCCATACAAACATTATCAACTACACTAACTTTGTTCTTTTGAAAAATCAACTGCAATAAACAAGATGCCAATCAACCATTATAGTTGATTATTTAATTAAAATCAATCAGCTATAACCATCTATATGAAGTATATGTCAACTACAGTCTTCATAAACTTCCATTTTTGCAAACATTTTTGCACTTCAACTGCTGCAGGCGACCAAGCGGAGGTGGGCCCTGTCGGATGAGAAGACCCTGGAAATTCCCATGAAACAAACAAAAACTACCATAACCTCACTGAAGTTATGAGGAAATGTCACGTTGTTTTGCCACTAGTACAACTTTGAAGCTCAAAGCTTGGTTACAACAAATCGCGAATGATCGCCATGTTGCTGTCCTTTGGAGACCATCCTTGGGCCACAGGTTTTCGGCAATGTTGACGTGATCGCGTGCTACTCCTTCTGGCAGGGAGGTGACTTCATCAAGAACGACAATACGCCTGTTGCGCCTGATGTGGTGAAGGCCATGAGAACTTGCGTCATTACAGGCAGCAAACTGACGCAGCCCATCTCTCACATGATGGGAGCTGAGAAGCTGCGCTACACTGGCGAGTCCTCCGTGCAGGCTGGTCTTCTGCTTTCTGGTCTCATTTTGTTTTGCTTATTTGTATTCACTTATTTTGTTTCTGGTCTCATTCCATATGGGATGTATGGGTATTCTCTAGAATCATCAACTTCCGAGTGCTGTCTCGTTGACTTTGTCTATTAGTATGCGCGGATAGTTTGCGTGCGTGGGTGGGAATCGGTCTGCCAGCTGAGCCCAATTGATGAAATTAGGTGAGTGGAGATAGAGGCGAAAACGTCATGGTAAATGGCATAGCAAGTTTATACGTTTTATAGTATAGATTAGTTTAGTGGTTTTGAGGAAAATATGGTGCAATTCTGAAACTCGGAACAATTTCCAGATGGACCACAACTCTTTGTTGCTATCAATTTTGAACGTTCTGGTGAGGTCGTCGCTGGGGTTGTCTATGGTTCGAGATGGTTGAAGAAACAACAAGTTGGTGAGATTGTCTCTGTGCTCAATTCTGAGCTAGAAGTCTGGTTGCTAATAGAAAGTTGGTGATTTGACAAAGTGAAAGTCAGTGAAACCATCTGAATAATTTGTTGCCCAAGCGTTGCTTTGCACAGCTGCAGGGAAATTAAATGCTCTCACGGTTTTCAAAAGAATGGAAATAATAGATCAACAAGGCAAAAAAATGAAAAAATCAAAGAAACTGTGAACATGTTCATTTCAGAACAAATTGGACACAATAGAGGATCCACACAACAAACATATTATTGAGAATCAACCTTGCTGATCCAGAAGAAAAAGCTGGACAAAATAGAGGGCCCACACAACAAACAACAAACATATTAATTATTGAGGACCAATCAAACAAATCAAAAAGCAGAAAAGAACTGAACAAACATGAAAACAAAAGCACATCAAATCATGCATGGATTTATTAAAAATGAATGAAATATATTTCAAACAAAATTAACAAAATAAGCTGAACAAATCTGGAAAAAAGGAAAAACGCTTGACGAAATACCGTACCCCCCAACCATTTACACAGAACCTGAATAGTTTTTTGAACACTTGACGCAAAAGAGTACCCCTGCACCAATTGAGGTTCAACATTACTGACAATTGAAATTGCAAATGAACAAATCCAGTGAAAATTTGCTATGATAGTTCGATATTGTTCGATAAGGTTCAAACCAAGCCGACCACGCAACCCATTCCGATGACCTTTCCGGGAACATCTCAAATCGAGGAAAAAATAGATGAAAACAACGGCCCGGAATAGATGGCCTGATCCAACCAATTGAGCACCAATTGGTGTTTGATCGACGTTTGACAAACGTGAATGCGCATTGATAAGTCATTGGCTAATTCAAGCACCAGGTAGTGGGTTCATGGCCCAATTATCAAGCAACAAAACATCAGTCAATGTCTCTCCGTGGGCACATGAGCCATCTACGTGGAACAAACTTTCAAGTTGAAAATTCAGCGATTGTGTCACCACATTCTTTGCTTGTTTGTAGTTGGGCAGGTTGATTCCAGCCCCAAAGTGTGCTTGTGTATTTAATGGGATCACATGGCATAGTGTACATAAGGGTTTGACTACCTCGTGTTATGGCTCAAGAAAAAGAGTAGCTGCTTTCAGGCTTGTTGTGGCTGTATTGCCTGTAAATTCAGGTTATCAGCCGTAACACTCTACTGGTTTAACTGTGTGGTTATGTCGGCCCCACCAGGTGCTTCCTCTGGTGGTCCGGGCGCGCATCCCTCGAGCGCCGCCATGACGATGGGTCCTTCACTGCCAATCGAAGATGGTTCAGTGACTACACACGACATCAGCACTCCGGTTGCTACCCCACCGAACTCTGGAAGGTCAAGAAGCGTTCGGGGCCCGCAGACCTTGCCGCCATTGCCTGTCGCACCCATGCCACAGACATTGGGATTTTCCCATCGAGGTCAGCTCCCCGAAGCCGCCCGAGAGGGTGGGCCGCGTGTTTCTCAAACAAACGTCCTCAACCAATACACGAGGGTTGAGAACCCTGAGGCACACTATCATGACCAACGCCAAGTGTATTTGACACAACAAAATCTCATGGTCAATACACATGATCCGGCTATCACATCACTCGTTGAAAGTGAGGCAGATCGTCGACACCATGAAGTGCTCAAGAACGTTGAGATGCAAGCCGATCTTCGTCATGAAGTGAGAACCTCGGAGCTTAAGGAAGCGTTGAGAGTTCGCGAGGCCGAGGAGCAACAAAGGGCACTAGACTTGCTCCATCGGAACCAACGAGTGCATCAAGAGGAAAACCAGTCCATGAAAGAGCTTATCCAACAAGAGGCCAATGAACATCTGAAGTACGAGCAGAACGCTATGCAAATGAAAGTTGAGGGGTACAAACGTGTGTTGGATGTCAACATGAGGTAATCCCTGTCCAGCAAAGACGCCGAGATCGAGAAGCTTCGCTTGGAAGCCCTTGAACGAGATCGTGCACATGCTAGGCAGATCGATGAGCTTCGTGGTCTGATCCTCATGCAACAACAACAGAATGAGAAATTGCAGGGTTTGTTTGATAGCCAATTGAAACAACCTGTTGCCGCTCCTGTTGTTGAAGCTGCCCCAACTGCCGTTGTTGCCCGTGTTGAGACTACCACCACTGATGATTCTAATGTGACGGGATTGAAAAAGAAGGCACCCCCTGCTGGTAAACCAGTGTCACTGTTTGATCCTCCGGAGAAGCATCCAGGGTATATTCCCCCTGACAAGTATGGCAACGTCGTATCAATGCCACCGGGGATCGCTCCGGCAACGGTTGCCCATAGTCCTGCACCGGTGTTTGTTGCATCTAGGGAAGACGGAAGACCAGTGAAGGTTTCTGCACCTCTCGAATCCATCAAGCTTGAGCATCCGGTTGCGTTTGCTGAGGCTAGCGGTTCGAAAGGACCAGCCGAGTTCCATGATGCACATTCCATTCCAGACACACCCACGGAAGTGTACCCGAGCCCAACGTCCCGTACACAGGTCTCGCAGGATCGCCAGCCGATTGGGCATTTGCACACCCAGTTGGAGGACCCCCTGAAGGACCGCCTCCGCCAGGACCCAATGATCCAGATGGACCCGGGGGACCTGGGTTTCCAGGAGGATTTGGCGGCGGATCTGGTGGGGGGCGTGGGGGAGGATACCCATTGCTTGGTCATGGAATGGGCGGAGGTGGTGGTGGCGGTGGGCCACCTGACGGCGGAGATGATGGGGGGGATTCAGATGACAGTGAAAGGAAGTTCATGAGAAGGATGAGAAGATTTCTTGGTATGGGAGCCACGGGGAACAGAGATGATGACCGCCCCAAGGTGAAAGAAGCTGACACCATCAAAGTACCGGCATTCCCACAGGCTGAAACCTATCGCAACTGGAGAATCAAGTTGAGGGATGCCGTGGTTGCCGCATCAGCTAAGCCAGGTGAAACCTTTGTGTGGGTCAGTGAAACATGGACGGATGGTCAAACCATTGAAGCTCTCCGAAAGGTGCAGCCCTTCGCAACCCTTGACGCCAAGCTCATGTCAGCCCTCACCAACACGTTGACAGGTGAGTTTGCTAGACGAGTCGATACGTACAAGGAGACGGAGGCCGCAGCTGGAAGGATCGTGAGGGGACGACAGGTCCTATGGATGATCCACGATTTCTTCAGTACCAACATCAAGCATGGTGCTACATATGCTCTCCAAGATCTCTTCAGTGTCCATCTCAAAGGAGAGAACCTCAAAACATTCATCACGAACTGGGATCAAGTGTTGGCAGGCATTCGTCAAGTCCCTGATGTATCTGTGTTAGAGACATTGTTTTACAAGCAGGTAAAGAATTGCCGAGCCATTGCACATGACCTCAACGAATACCAGCGTGCTGCCGAGGGTGATGCAAAAAGGTCATATGAGTTCCTGATCGATTCTGTTCGCAAGCACCTGGATCGGGAAAGGCTAGAGGTCAACCGGGAACGGGTTGCCCGAGGCCTATGTGGAAATCCCGGAAAGCCTTCCGCCCCTGTGGCCGAAGCAAAGCCTGGATATGTTCCCAAGGGTTATTGCATTCAGTTTGCGAGAGGGAAGTGCACAAACGACAAGTGCAAGTACAAGCACGAGACTCCTCCACCGAAGAGTGAACGCAAGCCAAGCCGATCAAGAGGTCGGTCGCCGAGCCGATCCGCATCCCCAGGTGGAACCAATAAGAAGACTTGCAAGTTCTGGAAGCAAGGACGTTGCAACAAGGGTGACTCATGCAAGTTCTCCCATGATGGAAAAGCCGGGAAGCCCAGAAAGGCCACTCCTGCTCGCTCAGGTTCCCGGGACAGTTCAGGGAAGAGAAAACCAAGCAAGAGCCCCAAGCGAAATAAGAGCAAAAGTCCAGGACGCAGCAAGAGTCCAAAGGGAAGCCGATCACCCCGAGACAAAAAGGGAAATCCTGCCGCAGTTTGTTTGATTGCATCTATGCTGGCTTCGGTATCCCAGGCAATGATTGTCGATGAGCCTTCCGTATGTTGCCCTTCTGTGTCGTTCAGCAACAAAGTCAATGTGACAAAGTTCAAAGCCCAGGGAGACCTGTGGCCGGTGATTCAACCCGGGCCTAAAAACAGGACAACCTACCCATGGGGACATGTTTTCGACGTTGACATGTCGTTGGTTGATGACGCAATCACAGTTGGGAGAATGTTGGAAGGGGCAGTCGCCAATCAGTTGAAGGGAATTCCAGCCAAGTGTGACTACAACTGCGACACGGAGTTCGGTTGCGATTTCTGCATTCCCAAGGACATTGTTGCCGTGCCTGCTGCATCCAGGAAGGAAGTCAAGAATTCTGCCAGGATCAAGGTCGACTGGATCGCTGATACTGGGAGATCACAGGACCTTGTGCCAGATGACTATGGTTATTACTCTGACAATCCAATCAGAATGATCACAGCCAATGGCGAAAACTCGTCAGATAAACAAGGCAAGGTCTATGTTCCCCAGCTAGGAATGACCGTTGATCCGTATCTGGTTCCAAGTACACCTGCTGTCCTATCTGTAGGCAT